CACACAAAAGGTTGGTTCTTTGCACAAAAGATGACTTCTTGGCACCACAAATGCCAAGCCAAAGGTGCACACACTCACCAAACTCAGAGGCAGCAACAACAATCCCTCTCACAGCAACCCCAATTCAGTAAGAAGTACCCTTAATTCTCTCAATCACACACCCAACTGTTTGCTCATCAAAGGATAAGGGAATCCACAAGAAAGGAGGAGTTTTGTTGGGTTTTCTCTCAAGGAAGGAAGGTGTCAAGTATGAGACTGTGACACTCAGAATGGAGGCACGTAGGAGGCTGAATAATGCCCCAAAAATCTCTGCCATTTAATATATATAGGCGGTTAAAAGTTAATCGCACTGTATTAGCGCAAATAGCTACGCTTAGCATTTTAATCCCAAATTTAGGATTCTGAACCTACTCATTTTTCTAAGATTTTTTATATTTTTATTTTATTTTTTGTAGCACCTTTTCGGTACACGCTTTTACTTAGCTACTATCAGTTCTGGCACCAGTTCTCATTATTTTGACTTGAAACTTGTTATGTCAGTCCTATATATTTTTCTAGTGACATACATACTTTTTATAATTTTCCGGGATACTTCATCGGTACGCATTTATACCATGGAGCAGAACCGATATCTGCACTTTTCGTCAAAAAAGTGACTTTCAGCATTCTTAATCACTTACTATAATTATTTAAGCCTTCTCATAATTATTAAGGTCAATTATGAAATTATTTCATAATTCTCATATTTACTTAATTAATTTTTTAAATTAACTGTGCGGGTTCTTATATAAACCAATTTACATTTCAAATTCAGTTAAAAAAATATATATTATCATAATTAATGGATTCACAAAAATATTATTTACTGCCTGAGTCAAATTATTATACTAATTAAAATAATTGTCTTAAACATTATTGACGTGACTCAACAATCAGGCGGTTTATCAGTTAAAATCTAATAATTGAATGTTTTAGGTAAACAAATCAAGTACAATGAGTCATTCATGAAAAAGCTTTCGTAATAATAATAATAATCATTTCTCAATGGCTGTTTTTTTTTTTTTTTTTGGAGGGTGGTTCAAATGCCTATATATATTATTTACATTCGAATATGTGAAGCTACTTGCTCTGCCAAAATAAACCAACCTGCGCATAAATTAAATTTTCATTAAATGAATGTACAAATTTTCAATAGCTTCATAATGTTTAATTAAAAAATTCATTGAAAATAATTTAATATGCATCTAAAAAAGGTGCTCTTAAGGTATAACATGTATGAATTTAGATCGTATTAAGAAGAATATAACTTAATATAGTAGTCCTATAATTCCTTTTTTATTAGTTACGCAAAAACTATTTAGTTTGCCTAATTCACCACTCAAGTTATTTACTTAGTTATTTATTTATCTACATAACCAGACAACAGAGGTGCCCTACATACGTTATTATTAAAACAGGCATAACTTGTAATATATGACAGCTATAATGAAAATTTTCCATTTATGATAACTATAAGGAGAAAAAATTCGTCACACATATTCCCATTCTAAAAGCTAAGGATTTCAATGCATAATAGTATCATCCTCTTAAAACTCAACTCTTAACTTTCAATGTACTTGTACTAATTTGAGCATCAATATTTCTTACATGCACATTTCCTCCGATGCACTCAACTCTAATTGAAAGATCGTGACGTTTTCAAACGGGCAGAACGCCACCCGCCAAATACGTTTACATTCAATGAATATGATTTTTGGCGGAGGAGAATTTATTTTATACGTAAATCTCGTTTTTCAGAAATATTATTTTTACGTTCAGTTTACGATAATATCTGAAAATTAAAAATTTAAAAAAATTTAATTTTTCAAAAATCCTGAAAAATATCTTGTACCAAACGCTCCATCTTCTGTGCTGATCCTTATTTTTATTACAAATTAACATTTGAAATTATTAGAAAAATCGATACACGAATTTGTCAGTCGTGAATATTTTATATCCAATAAAAAAACGTGAAAAATTAACTTGTTCTAGTGCGAAAAAAGATTATATAAGTTTCTATGTTATATATTAACGAGTCAAAACTTAGCACTAACTGTTAAGTACGCAGAAGACAGTGGGTGATATTATCACTAAGAGATTTGAACTCATGTATATAACAGATGAGATTAATAATCATAATTATCAAACATAGTCCAATAAGGAAATTAGAACAGACTTAGACTTACAGTATGCCAGGTAATGGAACAGAATGATCAATGCATGCAGGATAGTGTAAGAAATATGAGCCCACAGAAAGTGTCTCCTTAAGACAATTTGCCCCATCACTGATGCCGAAGGTTGATGGACACTTGTCTCCCAAGATAGAACGGATTGCGTCTGAAGATAAGTGGCACTAACAGTCAACAGCCTGAACGAACACAACAAGATGCCAAAAGGATTACACTGGAGAATGGAAGGAAGTATGCAAAAACTGGATGAAGGAAAAAATCTGGCAGAATAACAGTGCAGAAAACTGGATAAATTTTTTGAAGGGGTCAGGGTACAACCGATGATCGGTTTGGTCCAATATGAATGAACGCGTCAGTTTGAACCAAAAGATAAGAACCGATTTGGTTCAAAACGTCATGGGTTGAAGAATCTGGAGGGAAGTAACGGATAAGGACAGATGTATTTTGGACAAAAAGTTAATAAAATAATTTCGGACTAGGGTATTTTTATTTCACACACATGAATTGAACCGGCCGGAGTGCGGCACGCGCATGTGGTGGACTAAAGGCCACCTAGCTCCTCTCCCTTCCACAAAAGTGTAGTGTCCCAAGGGACAATTTAGGAGTGTGAGGTGGAGGCTTATAAAATCTCTCAGCTCTTACAAATTGTCCAATATGAAACTTCTTAAAACACACACTCCTTCAACTTCCCTTTTTTCTTTTCTTCCTAGTATCTCTATACAAATTCCAACACTAACGTCAAATAAATCGAGCTTGCAAAAATATTCCTAGATACAAATATTGATAATAAACTGAGTTAATTAGTAACATAATTGGTGGTGATAATGTTACATTAATTATTAATTTCAACTTTTTGCAACAGGTTCAATTGCGCATGAGATCTACGTTTTAAAGTTATTTTATTTGTATTTCTACGTACGAGCATGAATAACAAGTAACCGCAATTGTTTTCGCTTGACACACAAGTAAAGCAAGTGTTTGGGGACCCCATGAAATCCAGAATATCATTGATCGAGCAAACAATAATCTAGCAAGAGATAAATTTTTCTCTATTTGTGTCATTTTAGGCGTCCCTATCTTGTTAGCAATATAGATTCCTACGATCACTAAAGTTGAAGCACTTTAAATAGTGTTGTTTTTTCTTTATGGGAGAACCACTCTATTACCCTAAATGCTTAACAGCAGGCATGCATGGTGGAGAAGATGAAATGAAATATCCAATAACAGACAAAAAGCCATGGGGTGTTTTCCACGTCTTGATTAAAGCTCATTGGTGTCGGTGCATGTTCTCGTCGTAACATCATAACATTGTCCATTTCTTTTTTCAAATTTACATTAATCCAATTCTGAAGGCGCCATCTTTGTTAAAAAAAATACCTATCGATCAGTTGTATTAGTATTAACCGAAGAAAAAAGTACTTTCAGGAAAAATTTGACTTGCAACACGAGAAAACAAAAAACATATATATAATATTTGGTAAATTAAATTGTCTTCCATTAATTCCTTTTTTTATTAAATTAATTAAGCGCTTTTCATTTTACTTTGCTACATTTTATTGTTGCATACTGATTCTCTAATCTCTTATATCCAAATGACAGTTAAACTCGAAGGATGTGGAAGGATTTTCCAAGATGCCATCTTGAATTAAAGCAAGAGATACGGACCCATTAGAGCAAATAAGTCAATATTTTCCACCGGGTAAAGCTTTCATTTCTCTGTACCAAAAAAAAAAAAAAAACTTTCATATTTCTATCAATCTCAACCGACCGTTTTTCTCAATCGAAGTCAAAATATAAAGAATTTGCTTCAAATTTACTCGTTGCGTGATTCCTGCTTAATTTCAATATTCTCAACGATTAAGCAAGAATATTAATGCAGCAAGGGAAGAAAGGAACTATGTTAAATTCGTGGTTATTTGGATTCCTAAGGAGTTCCCCCATGTGCTGTAATACTATGTTGCACCGACACCGACACAAACACGGGATATAACACTCCGACACGTTAATTTTAAAAAATATTAAATTCTGACACGTTAGGACACGTTTTGATATTATGTAATATTTTTAATTTATATAGTGTATATTATATTTAATATTTAATAATTTAACAAAAAAATAAAGCTAAACTTATAATACCCATCAATTTTGCGAAAAAACATAAGATATCCAAAATGTTTATATTAAACTCAATAAAATAGTAATCATAATCCAATGAATCTAATAGTTCGAACTCAAAATGCAACGCAACGTAACCTTTGAACATTTTTTGAGTCTTTGCAACGAATATTGGAGTGTCGGAAAATGTCGAAGTGTCGGTGCTTTCATAGCTGTAATATATAATCAATTCCATCTTCATCTTAATTAATATGGTAGGTAAAACCTAATTAACTACCCTCTGAAAGCAGTTGTAGAATTATGTGCATAACTTTACGTTAGTCTAATTTAATTTCTACTCTCAAGTGTATGTAACCAAACATCACTTTACTTTATAGTTAAACAAGGTAACATGGTTTTACTGTATCCCTTTTTTTTTTTATTGAGTTTTTTTGTTTGACTGTTTTTGTTCTTGCACCATCATTTAGGGCTCGCTTAACGGCCAAAACTACCCAATAGGCACCCCGTGAAACCAGAAATCAGGAAGCACGTGGGTCCCATATGTTTAGTTTAATCACGCCATTTAGCCCGGCTTTAATCTCTTTATATACACTCCCTCCTTCGTACGTTACTTCTCACCTCTCTCCTTTCTCTCTCACTTAGGAAAGAGAAACCAACATGACAAGCACTTCACTCTCTTTGATTTTCTTGCTCTTCTCTCTTCTCATTCCAACCCTCATTTCCTCTTCACCAATTCAAAATCCTGAATTGGTAGTACAAGAGGTAAACAGGTAAAATCACTTGCTCCACATCTTTTATATATATATCTTACACACTTATATTACACATGCATTATTTAATATATAATGTGTTATATGCTACCCATTACTATGTGAGTTCATAGATAATTTCATATCACTTATTACTAAGTCAAAAATTATATATTTTAGTCACGACGCAACTTTTTATACTTACCATTATCGGTCCAAGCATCATGATTCGATATAATTTCAATCTCATATTGAATTTTGTCAAGGCAGAATGTTGATATCTCCAACATCAACCATATATCTTGATACAAATGAACTATCAGAAAAGAATGCGTTTAGATAAATGATAGGAAGGAAATAATTATTGATTTGTATCTGAACACCAAAATATTGGTCTACATTAATTTTTATTTTTTTGGTGTAGGAAAATCAATGCCTCTTTAGCTAGGAGGAACTTGGGGTACCTTTCATGTGGGAGTGGCAACCCCATTGATGATTGTTGGAGGTGTGACACAAATTGGGAGAACAACAGGCAAAGGCTAGCAGATTGTGCAATTGGGTTTGGGAAAAACGCCATTGGTGGAAGGGATGGTAAGATTTACGTGGTGGACGATGCCGGCGATGATGATCCGGTGAACCCAAAACCGGGGACACTCCGTGACGCGGTGATCCAAGATGAACCATTATGGATCATCTTCGCCAGAGACATGGTGATTCAGTTAAAGGAAGAGCTCATCATGAACTCCTTCAAGACCATTGATGGTAGAGGCGCGAGCGTGCACATTGCTGGTGGTCCATGCATTACAATACAGTACGTGACCAATGTTATCATCCACGGAATACACATACATGATTGCAAGCAAGGTGGGAATACTATGGTGAGGGACTCCCCACGGCACTACGGGTGGAGAACCATATCGGACGGTGATGGTGTGTCCATCTTTGGAGCAAGTCATGTATGGGTTGATCATTGTTCCTTGTCCAATTGCAACGATGGTTTAATCGATGCCATTCATGGGTCCACCGCTATTACCATATCCAACAATTACATGACACACCATGATAAGGTTATGTTGTTGGGTCATAGTGACTCCTACACTCAAGACAAGAACATGCAAGTCACTATTGCTTTCAATCACTTTGGTGAAGGCCTCGTTCAAAGGATGCCAAGGTAAAAAAAAAAATATATGAATATTTTAATATTAGTATTATTACACGTCTCTTCCTTTGTGGGAATTGAATGTGTTGCTTTGTCAATTCTCTTAATTACCTTTTCCTTTGTGGGACCAATATTGGTTAAGTTTGAAAAAAAAAATATATGAATATATATTTATGATATTTGCAGGTGTAGGCTTGGATATTTCCATGTGGTGAATAATGACTACACTCACTGGGAAATGTATGCCATTGGGGGAAGTGCTAGCCCAACTATCAACTGTCAAGGAAATAGATTTGTTGCACCCGATGACAGATTTAGCAAAGAGGTGATTATTTTTATATAGTTTTTTATATTCAATTTTTTTGATCGGACAAAGCTTTTTCTACCTAATTTTTAATATAATTAATAATTATGTTAGGATATATTCGAACTTGAGAATATTAATTAAGTAGAATAATCTTTTATTAATTGATTTATGTGGTTGTTGGTTTATTTAATATATTTCGTAAAATAATCAAGAATATATGCATAAATGGTATGGTTAAATAAAAGTGTGGAAAATAATGGGTGTAGGTGACAAAGCATGAAGATGCGCCAGAGAGTGAATGGAAGAGCTGGAATTGGAGGTCAGAAGGGGACTTGTTGGTAAATGGTGCATTTTTCACTGCATCGGGTGCTGGAGCCTCTTCTAGTTATGCAAGGGCTTCTAGCTTAAGTGCAAGACCATCTTCCCTTGTGGGTTCTATAACAATAGGTGCTGGTGCACTTAACTGTAAGAAAGGTTCTCCTTGCTGATAATGATTGATCAAGCAAAAGGAAACAAAAACATATTCCAAAAGAAAAGGAGGGAAATTGGGACAAAAAAAATGAAAAGACCTATTTGGTCATTCTCTATCTTCTGGATTTACTTTTCCTTGGATTTCTAAATCCTTCTCTCTTTTTCCTTTTTTTTTTTTTGTTTTTGTTTTTTAGTTTGCTTTCTGTTGCTTGTCTTTTTCTTTTTTTTTTAAGTTTTCTGATTTGCTCATGATTACAACCTCCGCCTGTTACTCTTTAAAAGAAAAACAAGTGCAGAAGAGTTGATGTTATTATTATTATTATAATACAAAATTACATCTTTTTATGTCATGCCCTTCTTTCTCTCTCTCTAGCGTTCCATGTGACCGACACATGCGCAGACACAAATGCACAGTGTTGACTAAGACCGTGAAGAAAATGAAGACACGTATGCAAAATAAAAAATCTAATAAAAAGTAAAAGAATATCATTAAATCCCACCAATCGTGTCAATAATTAATGTATTGGAGCAATCGATGAAGCTCAACAACCCATATAACTGTTAACTAATCGGACAAAAAAAGGTACAATCTGAATAGAATCCCGTTTGATATACTAAAATATTTCTGACATCTCCTTTGTAATTGGTACTTTATTAATTATGAGAGGAACCTAATATTAATGTTTTTGAATGTTGCTATTTGCTAGTAGAAAAGGCAAAGATGGTTTTATTAAGTCATTAGAATTAGTCTAATGGTGAGGGTTATAAGTAATTATGTAATAGTTTATATGTTTAATTTCTTAATATATCAAAATAATAATAATTTTATTTATCATTTAAATAGAGGCGCTGTGTATACTTTCCATTTGACAGAGACAAAATATTCTTCTTTCAACAAGGTGGAGCTTGCGAGGCAGAGAGCTATTGGGTCAAAAATAAAGAAAAGAAAAAAGAAAATACAATGAGAATAATAAACCCTCTTATGTAATATAAGATAATGGGTACGTAAATCAACTGAGATGAAAAATATATTAAAATAAAAAATTAAATTCTGATTATAAGGCTTCTTTACTTACAAGAATAAAAGTGAAAGTAAATTATATGTAATTTTACTCTTATATTTTTTTTAAGGAAATTATTTATCAAACTCAAACTTAAAACCTTTCAGTGATAATAAATTGACTCACCTTGAAATATACAATTTTTTATAGACAGTTGACTCTACACGACCTTATATCACATTCGAGGTAACGACACCGTTTCCTTCGGTGAGTTTACTTGAACGGGGTAAACATTTATCATGAACAAATTTGGCGTGAGGATGAAAAAGATAAAAAAGAGCACATGGGTGCGCCTCTTAAGTGGATCTTCTTTTGATGGTGGCATTTGATGTGATTGTTGTGGTCATGGGTACAGATTTAAATTGGGCTACAATACAACCATATCTTTGACAAAGTTTCAATTGCTTTGCCGGGTTCAAGCGTTTTCACTTTCTTAAATAATGAGAAGTGAGAGAACCCAAAAAGACTATCTAGCAGCAGCAACATTTGACCCTATCACATGCTCGATCATTCAATGGTTACCAATGAAAACTTCTCCCACCTCCAATTAAACTGAATGAATTCCCACATGGATTGGGAACAGAACGGTTGCTATTTATGTTCAGTCTATATCTTTTCTAGTTCTCTTTAATGGTCGAATTAAGAGAAGAATCGGATGGCCTAGCTTTCAACATGCAGGGCTATATAGAAAAATGAATCGGCAATTATAGTTTCTTTTCTTTTTTCTTTTTTCTTTGCTGAAAAAATATAAGTGGAGGAAATGTTTTCTTATTGAATAAATACTCAAATTAATCTCCAAAAATACATGAAACATAAGTTGGTTCTTAGAAGTTTTTGAACACCAAATTGGTCTCTTAGATTTTCATATAGACATTATTTAGTTCTTAATATATATATATATATATATATATATATATATATATATATATATATATATATATATATATATATATATATATCTCTTTAAAAAAACAAAATTACGGAAACACTCTTCATTAATTCATCTAAAATTACATAAACACCTTTCATTAATCAAAATGACGTAGTCTTTGGAGTAACTGTAGATAACCTTATATGCACGTGAAGTAGGATATTCTTACATTGGTATAAAAATAAGAAGCCTTATATCAAATCTTGATCATTGATTTGTTTGTATTAATGGCTCAAATTTGCAATAAATCAGAACTGTTAGATATAAATAGGATAAACGGTCAATAATTAGAATGTAAGTTATATCAGTATAAAATGATCCTGACCCTCCCTCTCTCTCTCTCTATATATATATATAGGTAGGATCATTTGACATTAGTATCAAATTTGAAATTTGACACATTATCTGAGAGTTATTAGATAAAAGAAGATCAATTGTGTCACATGCTGACAAATCAGAGTCGTTGATCTTTTTTGATCTAATGACTCTCAGACAAGATGTCAAATTTCAAATTTGAGACTTTATATATATAACTCAAGACAATCCTCATTAAAGGCAATCAAGTCTTAATCCCACCGTAAACTCTACTTAAAATATTGATGGTTTGGTTGGTACGTCTTTGAATTTTGGTTCACATTGCAATTTCATGCCGCAATTGCGGGGAACTCATTTTCAAAGTACAAATATGCAACTACGTTGTTGCAATAGTAAATTGGTGATAGGTTAAGTGATAAGAAAAAACGAAGTTAGGTAAACATTATGAGTCTATTTGGAGTACCTGATAAAGAAGATAAGATATGATAATTTATCATATCTTACTTTTATCTTTTGTTTGGTGGGTCAATAGAATATGATTAGCTTATCCTATTATATCATTTTATCCTATCTAATACATGATTTCTTATCCTATGAGGGGAGCTGGGTTAAGATTCAACAGGATAGGATACCAATATTAGATACCCAATATATCTTCACACTACCTAATATATTCTCACGCTACCCAAAATATTTGTATTTATTGCATTATATTTTGTTTTTTCTTTCTCCTTTCTCCTTTCTCCTTCTACATAATCTTATCAGATTACTAAACAGGTGCTCATCAAACACATGACATGATATAGGCTTATCAGCCCCATATCATATCTACTCTTATCAGTCCCATATTATATCGCACCCTTATTCTATCCTGTCCACTAAACCAGCCCTATAGATTTTACATTCAGGATTTTAGTGGTGGTGGTTGACATAAAAAAGAACAGGTTTGCGACTTTCAACAGATTAACAAAGTTACTATGTACCCAGGTTATTTAGTTATTAGAAAGAAAGAATTCAACTTGAGGATCAACAATTCTTTCTTATGTCATCTTCGGCGATCATTTTTCCATCTCATTTTAACAACGTGTTAAATGAAAAATCTCGTCCATTGGTAAATAGACCAAATGATTATTTTTACTGTTTGATTTACGAGTTTGTCATTAAAATTGTGATAATTAAAAAAAATTACATGATAACGTTAAAATAAGATTTGAGAGCTCTATTCCCATCACCTTCAAAAAATCTTTTGAGTACTATGTTGTCAATATTTGTACGGACATTTTTTCTCTCCACTATTTGACGTAAAAAAACTAGTAATAGTAAAATTGAAACTTATATCAACATATACTTGCAAGTGAAATACTTAAAATTATTTACTATATTAAAAATTTTCTTTTAATCTTCCAGGATCAATAAGTATCGGAGTAATTCGTTGTTAATAATTTATTATTTTCACTTTTACATTTTATTGATATTATTGGTCGGCCATGGGTATAGGCTATAGCCTAGTAGGCTATTAAACCCCACTCACCGGTTCAACTAATTATTTGAATATTTTGTACCATTGGGGCCACTGCACAGCGAGATTGTACCAAACAAAACTAAATCTTTGTGGGGCCATTGGGCCTTCGAAGTGTGAGTTAGATGATCAACTGTAAATGAGTCGCGCATAGTTGGTAGCTTCGTATGATGTTGCTATCGTATGCAACTTCATATTTCATATAACCATAAGAAAAAAAAAAGTTATATTGCATAATATATAAATGATAATACCTTCACATGCAAATTATCAATTCTTTATCACACGTAAAGACGAATGTCTTATTTAGGCAAAGATTATGGGGCTCTATAGAGAAATTGTGGGACTCTGTACTTTTTTGTCTCTATTTCATCAGCTACGGGATTGTGAGATATTACAGCATTAAAATCTTAAATAATGGGACATCATATGATGAAGTAGCAATAGCAGATATTGTAACAACCTCTATAATGAGTATGGCTAATTCAGAGAATATTACGTTAATTCTTAACTAATACTTTGAATAGAGATATAAGATTTATAAAAGAATAAAGGAATATCAGATTCTAAAGTAGTGATTACAAAGAAAGACAAATGACAAAACACTCTTTAAAGATATTTATACATTAGATATATGGCTTTATATTTCTCATGTGATAGGAATCAAAAACTTTTCTTATGCACACTCAACTAAAGTGGGACCCATTAAGAGAGAGAAAAAAACAAATCAAAAAAGTAGAAGCACGTGGATTGATGGGTGAGTAAGAATTTATTCTCCTCTTATGCAACATGAGAACTTCATTACCCTTAGATATAAAGTCAAATCCACTGTTACATTTAGATTAGATTACATTAACAGAGACGGTAAGCAAACATTTAAACTATATGGGACCAATAAGTAGTGAATTAATTAAGTATCAGTTTGCCCGTTCTATGCATGAAAGTTTCTATAATAGTTAGAGTAGAAAATCCCTCACCAAAAAAAAAAGTTAGAGTAGAAAATATCAGTCACTAATTCTTCTCCAAGCATAATGTAAAATTCTTTACTATCCTCATAAAAGTTGATTGTTAATTCCTGTCCGTTAATCGTCAAATATAGATTAGACATGTTTACTTTTAGAAATGTTAGCATAAACATATAAGAACGTGAGATAAATCTCAATAATATTGAGGTTTTCAAATAATAACAAATCCAATTGCTTT